TGACAAATAAAGACTAAAATTTATTTTTTGATTCCCTTTTCTTCCTATAAAATGTAATAAATCATAATAATCATTTAAGCTATAAAACTATTCTTAGGGTGCGCTCGAATCATTTATTATTATTATTTAATAAATAATCCTTAGCTGAATTACTTACTAAATAATTAAAATGATTGAAATAATGAAAGGAATTAAAAGATATTGTTTATAATGATTATAATTATTTAAATAATATTAGTTTTTTTAATGAAATTATAAATAAAGACTTTTTTTATCTATTTATCAAAAAATGTAATAATAAAAATTGAACTAGTTTTAAAAACGAGTTTCTAATAATTTCAAGAGAAAACTTAAAAAATATTTACATAATAATTTTTTGATAATTTAATATGAGTACCGGGTAAATGTATTTGTTTATTAAATGAATCTCCATAATTTATTTAATAATTTTCAGTGTTTAGTAAATATATTCTTGAATCTTATTTCGTAAATAATTCAGATCTACTAGTTTAAAAAAAATCGATTCGAACATATAAAGAGTAAATGATAGTAATAAATCAACTAGTATTTTATAGTACAAAGACTTTTTATTACTTTTTCTAAACTATAAAAATTCTACAGTGATTATAAATTGTACGCGTGCTGCTGTCGACCCGGGGTAGGTCTGAAACCTCAAACCCATGTGTCTCTCAGAGCCCTGCGCAAGTCACCTTAACAGAACGCGCTCTTATTATCTTTTGTATAATCACTATCCTCCCTTGCGATATACTATTATTGTAGATGATAAATATGAACCATTCCTAAATCTTTAATTGTATTCAGATATTCAAAAACTTATATTGTAAGATTGTAGTCCTGGCTATCGGATATCCTGGTCCAAATGGCACTGAATAGGGTTACCGACATTGACGATGGCTTGAAGAGGTTCGTAGCTGAGATGGACTATTGGTCCAGGGATCGATGGTTTTTGGGATGAGGTGTTGGGAAAGCTAGCTGGCGGGGGACGTAGGGAAAGTTGGGATGGAAAGGACGGCCATGATGATCTCCTCCAAATGCTTTAACTGAAGTAATGATGAATGTGAAAATGCTTAGAAGCTTCAGCTTGAGATGGAATCAGAGTACTGTCACGTGAAAGAAATAAAACAGACACAGGATGGAGTCATTCTTGTGTATGATTATCTCAATAACTGTCTCATTCGTGTAATATGTCTGCGATCAGCTGAGAATTACAAATCGCATTGTGATTGCGATGCAACGCCGGATGGTAATTGTGAAGTCGTACTAGGACTCGTGTCACAAAATTTGATTCAAACACAGTGAATTACAGATCGTATTTTCACTATCTTCTTTGTTCATTTAGGTCTGATCTTTGTCAAGGTTTTAACGCCGTCTCTTGGAGTAGGCAATTGATCTTTCCAATCATTTTGGTTTTGACAACCCTGAAAATGACGGAAGCAGAGTTCATCAGGGTACATAAGAAGCACTCAGTCTGCATATAAAGAACAATCGTAGTACAACCTCGGCACGAAGCAAGATATGTGATCATTGTCCCACAAGATTCCAGACATTAGAGAAGTGAGTTGGGTAATTTCGGATTGCGAAACAAACAGGGCTAATTTATTCGTAGGGCTAAAATAATGGTTTTTGTTGCGTGGCTTGAGTCACACCAGTTGTTTTTTAAGTCAGAGGGTTGAATTGTCTAGACTTCAATTCAACAATGAAGATTATTAGATCTCCAAACCAATGAAATGATCAAGTCATTTGAGACATCAGAATTGATTAGAACATTGAACTACTTTCACATTTCTAATTGCTTTTAGATATTCAAACCCTTATATTGTTAAATTACAATCTGGACTGTGGGAAATCCTGTAAATTTCCTTAAAAATGGAAGACGTTTGCCTATGACGAAGGCAAGTCCAAGTTGATGATCCAGGGAGCATTGGTAGGCTGATGTTCTCCATCCAGAATCGCCGCATTAACCATCAGAGTTTCTTTGCCAGACTCAATATGCAAATCCATAGCCTGCGGATACTTGTTAACCAGGTCATCCTCTGCTTTCTTCTCACCATTCCACACGATTCTATTGGCACCATACCCCTCATGGATACGACCAAAGCAATGCATCAAAGGCTTCGCACGTTGGACAGCGCGAAGGGTATTCTCGCAGCCCAGGTTCTCGTCACGAAAGCCCTTTGGTGGTCCGTGGGTCATAACAATATCCACATCAGCTGGGATAGAATTTTCAGCAATGGAAGTTACGCCCTCTGCAGTTTCCCCAGATGAATTGAATCGATCTTCGTTGCGTTTATAAGGGAAGGCGTAATCGTGAAATTCGGGTTGGTATGGAGAAGCATATATCTTAAATGTTGCACCACTTTTAAGATTGAAAGTGTGCGTTCCTTCCTCTAAATAAGTGACACCTGCTTCTTTCGCTAATTCCCCCTTCATTACCTCCATGGCCCGTGCATGGTCATCAAGATAGTCCTCGTCTTCCTCGAGGTGTGCTTTGCACCATCCTCCATCAAGCTCCAAATCATGATTTCCTGCGATAACTAGTTTAAGCTCTGCGTCAAAGTTGCTGAGCATTTTCAGTGCTTTTTTGAAGGCGGGAACACCTCCAACTTGTGTTAAATCTCCACAGTGGAGAAGAACATCAACTTTTGGGACTGGAAGCTGCAATTTGCTCGAGGCGTTATCGCCAAATTGGTAATCGTGTGTGTCAGATAACACGATAAAACTTGTTGCTTGAGTTCTTGCCATGTTGATCATTGTAATATTGTAATTGTTAATAGTGTAGTCTGATTATAATTACAATTTGAGAGTTATTCCAAATAATAAATTCGTGGATTCGAAATGATACTATAGAATTGAATGTGCAGGGATGACGGGAAAGAAAGAAAGGTGAGGGGTTCTATCTATTATTATATCTGTGCATGGAGCTAGAGTAGACTATATATATAGGATTACCCAATTACAGAATTTCAAGGATATGTGGGCTACATGGTGGAGCTCCGCAGCATTAGTGGTAAAGCTGAGCCCTAGACTAGCTCGCTAGGCGGTGCTATCAATCACGTGATCATACAGAACTTTTCACCAATACGTCGCCAAAGTTTCTAGCAACCACCAGACTCACGTTACATTGTCTCGGGTGACAAGTTGTCTCGCTAGGTGTACCATCTACTGTTAAGCGAACCAGTGTAATTTAAATCTCAGTCTTGTGGTACTAGAAAGCAAGACTTGACTTTAGTATAGGGAATGATTTGCGGGGCATGTCTTGCTTCATGCTGACCTTCACCAGTGTCATGGGACACTTCTCAACTTCAATATTTGTCATAACTTCAGTATTGAATTGCTTGATATTACAACCCATCTTTTCATTGTTCAATCTTTCATGAATCGTTACAACAATTCTCAAGATATCGGAGCTGGCCTTGTAGTTTTTACAATCTATTCGTAGGCGAAAAAACAGACCTGAATTGACTACTAACAAAGCCCTTTAATAATCTGATTGTTTCAAGTCAGTTGAGAGAATCAATTGTTGAAATAGTAGTATCGTTGAAGATCATTTAACGACTTGTTTAATATCATTAATTCTCATGATGGATTTATTTATGATCAAGTTATTATAAAATTTTATAAGAGTTATTAATTTTTATCTTGGTGATATTATATGTTGGAGGTAGTTTTCTAGAATATAATAATAATAATAATATTTTAGTAATAGTGAAAGACTTAGTCACTTTAGCTTGAGGGACAAATCGAATATAATATAAGAGTTGAATTGAAGACAAATTATAAGAGAGAGCTTGATTGAGCTGAATTTGCTTGCTTTTTCTAGGTTTTCTTTAAAGAATATCCCAGGTTTATATAGTTTATAATGAAATTCTAGTAGTTTTTATACTTATAAATAAGATCGATTTAAATCGAATCTTATAGAATCATTTTATATTATAAAAGAAAAATACAACTAATCAATTTAATCAATTTATTAACAATCTTCCATATGATTCCATCTCATTCTATTTCATTATAAATCAATTTGATAAGAGATATAGCTATATTATAATATAATAATATAATTCTATAATATAAAATCATATTATACATATATTATTAATTCATATATAGCTTGATTAGTAAGATATTAATAAGTGATTTAGTATACTTATTATAGAATCTCACATTATATATTACTTATATTTTTAATAATATAGAATATACTACATTATTCAAAAGTTAAGATTATCATTAGACTCTAATAAAAAATTATGTTTTTATATTGATACATATTCATTTAATTTAAATTATTAATATTCAGTAATTTTATTATACATTCTTATTATTGAAAAATTAAGTCATTAAAATTAGAACCGTAATTATAAATAAAGATAAATGAAAGTTCAAGAATTAAAATAAATAATTAGGATTTATTTGAATGAATTTATATCTTAAATACTGTTTTTAATATTTTACAAATTTAATATTTTTTCAAGTAATATCTTATATAAATCTGTATTTTAATAAGAATGAAATCTTCTTAATATCTTAAAGTTATATATATATATATCTGTTGGTTCGAAAGGTGGTTTTTGATAGAACTTTTATATAGTTAGAATATTCGAAACGGAAAGATAGAATACCAAGAACGAATCTACTAACCGAAAACCCAACATCCTGTCCATGGACACCTGGTTCTACTGCGAAAATATACTTATAACTCTCCTCATTCCCAAAAGTATCAAGTAAAAACACCGCATTACAAATCGTGCTCAATTCCGCCATTGCATTCGCACTTCTGAGTAATTTATCCAGAACCCCTGCGTTTTCGTCTTCCAAAGGAAACAAGCCTGTAAAAATGTAATTCACATCTTCACCTTTCAATTCCGGTAAACTACTATAAAGCTTCGTTTAAATTGTCCTTGCAAATATCATAGACTAGTAAAAAGATATGCCTCAAATTGGTAGAAGATAGTTGCACCAAGGGAAAAGAAAAATACTCAACGCCTGCTCAACTTGTTCTTCAGCTTCTTGAGAGTTCCTTGAGCCGAATCTAAGACCAATTTAGCGAGCTGACCTGCATGTCCCCCCACCTTTGCGCTCTCCTGAGCAATCAAAAGATACTCATCTCGATCTTGGTCCTTTCCTCCTAAAGCTACTACAATTCCAGAATACTTCACGAGGATCGCATTGAGTATCATTCGGCACATTCGTCCGTTGCCATCTCTGAAGGGGTGAATGTTCACAAATCGATCGCAGTAACTCGCGGCGAGCATAAAGGGATCGATGTTCCGAGTAGTCTCAATGGTTTCGATATCGTTAGCGAGATTTTGCACCAAAGAATTCATTGCTTTGGGAATCTCTGAGGGCTTTGCAAACTCATGGGATCCTCCGAAGGCTGACTCGCCTGCTTTTCTATACTTTCCTCCAAAGTCTTGGTAATCGAAGTGACCGGAATTGGTACCGCTGAGCCCAGTGGTGAGGATTCGGTGAGTTTCTTTGATCAAGCCCTCGGTGATAGGTTGGTCGAACTTCACGAAGGCCTCGAGGAGATGCTGGAATGCAGCAGCGTGTTGAACAACTTCACGTCGGCCTCGAACAATGGCGGATTCCCCCAGGTTGAGGTCCTTCTTCACGAGTTCCTCGAGCTTGGACTGATATTCTATAGAACTACAAGGTATGTTAGCATCAGGATCAAAGATTCACGATGAAGCGCAATAGATTGACTAACCGTGCAGGATACGGAGTGATGCACTCTCCTCGGAAAACTGCCAAACACAATCGAAAGGTCTCATCATATCCAAGGCCGACCCGCTCGATGTTATTCGAGCCGAAGATTACCTTAACCATCTCCTCTTGCATTTGATCTTCCATTTGATCAGCCGTAGCGGTTTTAGAGCGCATAATCGAGGATATATCCTCTATAAAAGCTCGATTCGTGTCGAAAGCAGCTGAAACATCTGCCGATTCGTCTTTGACGGTGATGTCATTCCGCCAATTATCTGGGTACACTCGATATTCATTAGACATTCTCAATGCAAATGGAAGGGATGGTTTATTAAATATACATCGTTAGTCTCAAGCTGCAATGAAGATAATAAGAGAGTATCTACCGAGATGGAGAAGATGCTCGTGGTGGACTTCTACCCCTGCTGAAAGATGGAGGCCAACCTCGACTAAAAGTGCCTTCGAAGCAGAAGCTACGTCTAGGATGTATGACTGGTTCTCTTGAGCCGGAAGTGATGTTAAGACTCGGGAAGATGTTGAGAAGGTGAAGAGTCTCTTGATGTAGACATTTTGTTTATGTGGGAATGTGTGAGACTTTGAACGTGGCAGTAATGATGTTGAAGGGGTTTGAGCACACTCTTCGGGGGAATGTAGACCTCTTATATAGGACAGTTTGGATTTTTTGGGGGGGAATCTTGTCTACATAGTTTCTCCACACTAGTCGTGTGACTGATGATTCACAGGTAGGCAATGACGAGCGGATGATCCACAGATAGATAATGACGAGCAGATGATTACAGATCGGGTGGTGGTTTTTTGCGGAGTGCATTACTGCTAGCAACACTCGTAATCTCATCTCGTTATTGCTATCTTTACAACTAATACTGCTGCCATCACTCTGATAATCATCGTTTTCTTCATCTAAGTTATCTATCCGTCATCAAACGTTTCGATAGCGTCAAGTCTCCATTTGTAGTCTATCGTCACGCTGCTAACATTGTGAATAATGACAACAGAAACTTTCATGTATAACACCCCCTTTACATAATTAGAACGACAACCGAGATATCTGATTGTCGTCGATATGTTGAGTCGAGGTGGAAGGTGCTGACCTAGGAAGATGGCAACTTCAAATTGATGAGCCAGCGTTTAGGGGTTCGGTCGAGTTTTCGGGGTTGAAGAGGAAACCGAAGGCACCAAGACGGCAATTTAACGTTACCTTGGGTTGAATGTTAGCTGTGAGCAAACGTTGAAGGGAGGGAGAAAATCGAATATAATGCTATCATGGAAAGCTGCACTATCTAGTATTAGACTGCACAACGGGTACCCGCGGGGCGAATAATGGCCTTAATGGGTAACTCACAAATTATTCATTGTAAGGCGAATAATTCAAAAATCTGAATGAATAACCTGTAAGGTAGATACAAATTATTTACGGATATTTACCTACCCGTATATTATATAATTATTTATAATCTTTTATAATATTAATATAATTTTATAATTAATATAAAAATTAATATAAATCTAAAAATAGCTTCATATTTTAAGCGAAAAAAGCAGAGAATCTATATATCCATAAATTATTTACAGATAATCCGCAAATTATTTATAGATAACCCATATATCCGTAGATAATCTATTTATTTATAAATAAATGAATTATTTGTATGGAATAAATAATTTTAAAGTTTTAATAAATAATCCATGGAGTGAGTAAAACCTTTAACAGATAATCCATGGGTATAGATAATTTGTGCGCAGCCTATCTGGTATAAATGGAGGCATTGAAAAAAACATATGGACTTCCAGCTTGATTCTTGTGTCCAAGAATAAACCTCCTCCATGTATCCAGACCATTACTGGTACTATATTATTTATTTATCAGTTTCTTCATTCATTAGTATCATATGATAATAGTACTCACAAGGGACGAAATTATCATCTTCCTCCACCGCCTCAACCATTCCCTCTGGCACAACTACATCCGACAACGAACAATCCTCGCTCTCCCAACCAAGAGGAACGTCTTCAAATGGATTTGGTTTCATGTGACTTGGGTCTATATTATTAATAAGCCCTAAAGTGTACAACGCAACTAGTGGACAGCATCCTTTGTTCAATCTGAATCAATATAGGCAATAGTATACTATAACAAAACGATGACGTATATCAAGCTTTGAGTATAATATTCATTGTATATTCAAATAGGATTATCTTATTTCTACAGATGCTATTTAAATATAATATGTAACAAGATAACACGGGAAAAGTCCTTCCATCTACCGAAATTGTCGCACAAACACTTCAAGCTTATATTTTTGGATTTGTGAAAGAAGGAGATCCAGACCGTGGGCTAATTGGACCAGAGTTTCCAGTTTATAAAGATGGAATTGTGATTCTTGGATCGAAGGAAAATGAAAGTATGATTGTACCGGAAGGAGAGGTGAGGGTAGATGAGGATACGTGGGTTGATGAAGGGACATGAGAGAGGTGTAAGTGGTGGGGTGAAGCGAGATATTGGGGTGGATATGAAGGGGGCGATGAGAACGATAGGGATGATGGAAGTGATGGGGACGAGGATGGAGATCATGGGGGTGAAAGTGACGGAAACGAAGACGAAGACAATGGAGATGAAAAGGATGGAGATAACAACGAGGACGACGATACAAAATCCAACCTCAAATTACACAGCACATCTGTAAAAACCTCACGTCCGTTCAAAAGCTGGAAAAACAAACTCTCTTCATCTCAGCTCCAAAATGTCGACTCCATCCACACCCACATTCTCAGATATCTTCAAAACCAAGAACGATGGTAAGAAAGTGGAATGCCATGCTGAGTGGAAAGCTGAGTGGATGGATAATGATAATAAGGCCTTTGCAGATGTTCAGGGAAGTGATAAAAAAAGGAGAGAATAGTGAGATTGAAGAGAAAGAAGAGTTGAGATAATGCTAGAGGTTAAACTTGAGATATTTGAGAGATGAGTTACTTCATAACATCTTTTTTTTTACTATATCTTGAATTTAAATCTATAATCCACTCAACTAGTATCGTGAACAATACCTATATTGTGATTTTGAGAGTAATTCCTATCATCATTAGCTTAGTACCTCGGTTGGTACATACTGCATTCTTCCACTTTTTCATGTCATTCAGATCATTTAGTTTTCCAGATAATAGTCCAACAACTAATCAACCCTGGTTGTTCAAATCTGTAACAAACATTGAGACAGTTTAGAACACTCTACCCGTTTGAATTAATACAATACAATGGCATTACTTCTCCTCGCTAATCTTTACTTACCAAGTCACGAAATCACCAGCCGTAGTCTGATATAAAAGACAATAAGACCCATTATAGCATCACTCCCTTCCATCCCAAACCCCTTGGTAAGAAATGCCCTACACTTCGATCTCACTTAGAGCCCAGTCTAAAACCTCATTCTCCCTACACCAATCAAAGCTAGAATTTCCAACTTCGATATAACCACCTCTTCCAATACCCTCTCCACCACTCCATCAACATCAAGAGTATTCTCCTGCTGACCGCATCTATCATGCACCATACCCATACCAACATGCAAACTCAAGCCAAAATACAACCTCACCTCAACACGCTCTCATCTCGTGGTCCCAATGCACCCAAGCATTCATACCTGCATACCTACATACACACATAGACATTCTTCCATCCGCAAAATGTCCATATGCAGCATCGTAAATATCCACATCTCCTCGTATTAAAATTATTATCCCATCCCACTCCCGCCCATCAAAGAGATATATATTGACATCAAGTTTCAACGAGATAAGTCCCAGTTTCTGTTTCTCATCATGTGTCGTATCATATTGAAGTGTATCCAACCATCCAACTTCCTTTCACACCCTCCCACACCCAACCCTTTAAACTCCCAATCCCTCAAGAAAGCAAAAGATCGCCATCATTCTCATACCCACATACATACCCACTTACCCCTCCTTTCCTTCCCTTCTCATCCTTCTAAATCCACATAACGAAAGCATACCAACCCACTCAGCTCATCTCATCTCCATCTCCACTTCTCTGCATAAAGCACAGATAAGTATACATCCCGACTCCGATCTCACCCCATCCCATCAAATGAGCCAATCTACCTCTCTTCTCTTTCCTTTACCCTAATTCTGAAGTTCGTATCTGGGGCGAATCCTCTTGGACAGAATCTTATCCTATTACATGTTAGCTTTCCCGCAGTCCTGTTTTATCATATGTATAATACATATCAAGATAATGAATCTTGGACTGGAATTTCTAGTATATGGATCGAATGGTGTATCCCACTACCCAGTTTTCCAAGTACCTACTTATTACTTACCTACTTATAGCTAAATATGTAGCTCCGCCATTGAGTCGGAGTTTGATCATACATAAGCTAATAAGTTATAAACGCGATTCGATTGAGATTCCATGGATGCATAAAAGCGATCATGTCTCTGTCCATTCATCTCATTATGGATCTTCATACCAAAAGCCTCATATATGATTCCCATCTCTATTCGTTTATCTATTATTCTCTATACATAGATATAGATGGAGATGGAGATGCACGAGGACAAAAATCACCAAGCATGCATTCTCCCACCTACCTATTTATCTCATTATACAATAAAGCTTCATTCTTTAAGCTTCATTCATTCCCAATCCTGAGTCCTCATATTTAACCCCTCCATTTCTAACCCCCTTTTCTATTTCCTATTTTCCACATCATTCCCTTTCTCTACGCATTCCATCTCAGACTTATCTACTCGTTTCTTCACTTCCTCACTTCGTCATTTCCTTCCTCTCACCCTCAACCTCAACCTCAACCCTAAACACAAACCTCTCGCACACTCTCTCACATCCCTCACATACACCTACCCCTGGCCAAGTTCATCGAATTCCAACTCACCACGCCCCCTCATGCCTTCACATCTTCACACCCTCTCCACTCTCACCTTCACTGTCCCTCCCACTCTCCACTCTCCACCCTCCCCTCATGCCCCTCATGCCCCTCACGCCCCTCATGCCCTTCACGCCCCTCACACCCCACCAATCAAATCCACTCTACTCAGACCCAAACCTGAACCCACGTACCCCTCGTACATAAATACACACGCCCACGTACCCCTACAAATCTGAAACATATCCTCTCACAACCAACCATCTATCCATCTATCGATCTATCTTTCTAAACTCCCCCCACCTCCTCGTATCTCCTCGTACCTCCTTTTGCGTAATGAAGCTTAAATCTATAATCTCTAAATCTTTAAATCAAGGAAATGGG